GTATTATTGTATTATTGTGTTATTGTGTTATTGTGTGTATTGAGATATTTAATAAACATCACTTACATTTATATTTTATTTTATATCATATTTTATTTTTAAAGCAACTTGGAAGAAATATCAAAACATAATGCTTTAGAGCATGATGCTTCTTTAACTCGAAAAGATAAATATTTTGGCGATCCACTCAAAGTTGATAACGAATTAGTTGATAAATTACTTGATCAACAAATTGATGGAAAAATAAACCTTGATTCATTAGCAAAACATCGTCAAAATCGACTAAATCATTCAAAAGAAAATAATCCTGAACTTACCTATGGATTTGTGCAAAAGATTCTTTCGGGCGCTGAAAGTTCAATGTTGGTAAATGTTATGGGTGGTAATACTAATTTTGAAATTGATAGTGCTTTGTTGGAAACATTTTTAAAACATGAAAGACTTCCGCATACTTGGCGTAAACCTGATAAGCCGGTTACGCCCTTAGAAGTTTTTAATAACAGCAGCGCAATCATGAAAAAGTATGATGCGTTAGAGAAAGAACAAAATAAGTAAATATTTGAATTATAGTATCAATTAGTTTTAATGTCATATATTATCTGTTTTTTAGTTATAAATACTGTATTATTTACTACATAGTTTTTTTTATATTATTCTTTTTTTTCAAATTTATGTTGCATAAATTATTCATTTTCGCCTTTTTGTATTTAAAGCATTTAAGAATTGTATGCATTAATATCTCAATTTGTTGTCAATAATTCTATACATAAATAGCAATTTAAAGGAGGCTATATTCTCCGAAATTCAAATCAAATTACTTTACATTGCTCTTGAAAACAAACTATTCAACGGTTGTTGAAGCATCACATATAGTGATGGCCAAGTGCGCAGTCACCATGCTTAATATGTTTATGAATGGTAACTAAATTGTGATCTGCAAAATCCAATATAGTACAAATGTTAAGGTAGTGACAAATACTACGTAATATTTTGAGGTTAAAGGATATTAAATGTAATTGAAATATCTTAATTTGATTTAATAAAAAATATATTACGTAACATTTGTAATTACTCTTATCTTTACCAGTAATACTAAATTTAGGCTACTTCTAAGAAATTTTAATAATTACTAATCATTTCATTTAAATTTTCATTTTTAAATACAATACTCTTAAGTTGCTGCCTTATACTATCACATGTGCAACTATTACATCAAAATAATTGATTTGAACCGTTTGATTGTATATATGACTGTTAACGAAAATTTTACCTAAATTGGATGCATATAACTTTCTCATGTGATACATAAAGTACTGGCATTAAAAAGTTTAGCTTGTATTTAATTTCACCTTTTAATGATCCTCGTTGCAGCTCCAAACTCTCATACAATACTGTAAATCATTTTTTTGATATACGTATCGGCTAGTAATACTAGTGATATGGGCCGATGGAAAAAAATCTCGGGTCGAGGCCGGCCCGGGCCGTCAGGGCCGATCTTTGTATGAATGATTTTGTAAGATTTTGAGATATTCGACCTTTATCGCACTTTAGACATGGATTGGAGAGTTATTCAGATTCGACTCAATACTTTTTTCTTTGGCCTTATAAGAGATTTATATTCGATGTTGTCTTATTGTCTACATTCTGAAGATTCCCGGCCAGTAATTTCCGGGCCAGCCCATATCACTAAGTAATACAAAATTGATAATATATAATTAATTAGGCTAGTTCGAATGGAACTATAATATGGGATCTTTGCTATTAAAATGACCCTCCGAAGCATTGTTACACGAGATTTTTATTAAGAAAAATATAGTAAATCTATTTTTAGAAAAAAATTCATAGCAAAGACTTCATATGCGGTTTTGAGAATTGGATTTATTTTAATTACATAAAAAATTTTTTATAATTGTTGGACCAAATTATCTTAATATAAGGTGAATTAACCGGTTAATATATTAGGCCACGCAAAGTTGGTTTTTCGTTTTACATTACCCGCCGACCCATTTTTTTCAAATTTTCAAAAATTTTTTCAAAAAAACAACCTGGTATTACCCGTTATCCGACCAACTCATATGATCATGAATTGCCATCTGTCTTGTTATTTTTTACATGTGTTACGATGTAATCATGTTTATTCAAATTAAAACTCAGTCAATGACTCCCTACCAATCATGATCATAAATAGCCGGATAACACCAATATTGGGCAATTTGTCGAATACGATAATTTGGCTCAACCGGGCAAATGATTGGCACACATGCCGCTTCGCGGCACGTGTTCATTTGCCCCGGTTTTGCCAAATTACCGTTATTCGACAAATTTTACCCAATATTGTATACATATTGACTTATTTTCCCGAAAGTATCCGATAGAACTGACAGAAAAAAAATTCGACTGCCAACCCAATTTTCTGATTCCATGTTATAAAAAGCAAAAAAATAACCTTTTGCGACCTTAGATGTGAACATGAGCCCATTAATTCACTGTAGATTAAAAAAAAAATCCGACCGGGAATTTTAAAATCCATGTAATGCAAAACTAAAAATCAACTTTGCGTGGTCTTAAATTGATCATTTAAAAAATTTTTGGAGGGTAATTCTGATTCTTACTACGTATGTACATACATTTTAGATTTTCTTCAGTGTTTTTTATACAGCCTTACCTTGATGTTGGTTATATTTTAAACATAATGCTATATTTTTTATGTTATTTATTTCAAAGGTTTAACTTATTTATTTTTTTTTATAATATTTTGGCTTATTTCAAACTCACAGAAATTTAAAATATTATATATAATATAACAAAAAAGTTTTTACTTAATTACAATTTTAAATTTTTATTTATTAAAATTATAATACAGTATAACAAATATTATAACTTTTTAATTAAATATTTAGCAATAACAAAAACTAAGTCTTAAAAAGATTTAATATTAAAACTATTACTAAAATTTATAATAATATTTTAGATATATATAAAGAAAACTTTTTTAAAATTACAATTTTAAACTTTAATTATTAAGGCCAATTTATAATATATATATCTTTTAGTAAATCAAATATAATATAGCTTACTTCTTAATAAAATCTTTAAAATCTTTAAATTAATTACTATATATTATAATATAATTTCTTAAATTAGCCTTTTAATATTAATTAAATATTAATTATAATATAAAATAACTATATAAAATTAGATATTTAATAGTTTTTAAAAGAGAAAATCTATATTATATTTGATCTGTAATTTACTAATAAAGATAATTAATTTTGTAAATTAATTTTATACATAAAATATTATATTAATAAAATTTTTACTTTAGCAATTCTACCTTTATTTTATTAATCAGAAGTAAAATTACAAAAATACTCTCAGTTGGCTAGATCTATATACAAATTTTTATATTACTATAATCTTGTTTAAATAAAGATTCTCTTAATCTGTTTCATTATAATAGTAAAAAATAAAATAAATTCTAAATTTTACAATAGAGTATAATTCAGAAATGACTTGTTTAAATAAATATTTTCTTTCTTTTAGAATCTATAACTTACTGAGAAAATAAGCCCCAGATATCAAAAATATAAATGTAAGTGATGTTTATTAAATATCTCAATACACACAATAACACAATAACACAATAATACAATAATAC